GACGCAACGGATTGCACGAAGCCCTACAATCGCAAGATTCAATATGATTACTATTAGTGAATATTCGTCCTTGAATTTGTTTCCATCTACAAATTCCTATTTGGTTCACCTCGGAAAGTCTCTCAGCAATTGAATCTGATGCTGCTACATGAAAACTTGCTGGAATATCACCTTGAAGGTGAAAGTGGAATAATTAAAGTATATTGCCAAGTCAAAGAATAGTAGTAAAGACACCCTGTTGATTGTTACTTTCAATAGAAGCCATGGTTGATTGGCTGAGATGAGTGAGAGAGAATAGGGAAGGAAGTGATTTGTTAGGGAAGAGAAGAAAGATTGGGCGTGTTTATAGAGAAGGAGCATGTTGTTAGCTCAAAATACTCCATTCACGTAGGCAAGAGACGCGAGGGAAACTGATCTATTTCTATTTATCTATCTATTTATCTCTTTATTTATTTATTTATGAATATGATTGTTTTATAATTTTTTTGGGACAAAGATTGTTTTACAAATTAACTCCAATAGTTATTTCATTTCATTTTTTTAGCGTTTCATGTTTTTGTATTGACGTACACAATGATTATTTTTCGCAAACAATTATGAGTTACTTTGTAAAATACCGAATTTACTTTAACAAGTCATTAGTTAGATAGTGATACAATGCCAAAAGAAATTATAATATTTTAAATAAAGTATATTATATTACCTCATGTCCTAATTATAAAATCTTATCTGTAGTGTACAAACAAGGTCTTATAATTAGAACCAGAGATAGTATTATAAAATATATTAAAAATATTATCTCTGGTTCTATTTCTAAGACCTCATAATTTGTAGACTACAAACGAAATTTTATAATTAGAACCGGATATACTCCACTGGTCCTTAATATAAGATCCAATTGTTAAGTTGGTTTTGGTCCTAAATATAATATCCATTTCTCATATTTATCAATTTTCTCTAAATTACTCCTATAAATACTCTGTCAACTATAATCAAGTAAAAGAAGGAGAGGAGGTATAAGAAAATGATTATGGTATTTTAGAAAAAATGTGTCACATTTCTTATAATTAACTAACTTATCTAACTTTCTTAATCTAATCAAATTAGTTAAATAGGTCTTATATTAAGGATCGGAATAGTAGTATTTATAATGAGGATTGGAATGAATAAAAAATAGATAGCACATGCGGGTTTCTCTCTCTCTCTCCAAAAATTGATTCGGCCAAATCCAATCGAAGTAGCCCGTACCTATGAAATTAACCAGTTGACGAAATAATAACGCTTCGGTAATTAATAAGCCCAACAGACATGACATTCTTAGAAAATAGAATTCGTTGCGGAATATGAGTCCGTAAAATCAAACCTAAATCTTTTTAATAGTCACAAGAATAAATAAGATAGTGAATGTAAAGATATATACGTAGTAAATATAGATGGTCCCATTTTATATACTATCTCCGATCCTTAATATAAGAACTTATTTGATTTTTATTTTGATTCTAAATATAAAACCACAATTCATTTTATCTCTCATATTTATGTATTTTTTTTCAAGATAGTCCTTCTAATAATAATAGTTTTAGCTAATATATTTGATTAGTAAAGATATATTAGGAAAGACAATATCTATTTATTACAAATAACTAACTTAAATTCTTTTTTTAATATCTTTAAATTAATCAACTAGTTCTTATAAATAGAACCGGAAGTAGTAATTCTCTAGATGAACACGCCAATAGGCAGACATATGGCACATGAAAAGCAGAGGTGAGACTTCGAGCTGCGAGGCTCTTGAAAGGAAAATGCTCTTTCGTGCTCGCTGCGTCGTGTGAGGTTGTTCCTTAATTGCTTAGTGTGCTTTTCTCAAATAAATAAAGAAAACGTTTTGGGTGAATCAGATTCTAGGCCTCGTTAAAATCAAAACATTCCTCGAGACTTAGGCAGAAATCATGATCTTTAGCTAAACATCGAAGTAACTTACTATTACTTCTGGTTCTTAATATAAGATCCTGTTTTATTTTTATATGTCTCTCATATTTATATTTTTTTTTCAAAATAACCCTTCTAATAATGATAGTTCTAGTCAATATATTTGATTAGTAAGGATCTTTTATGAAAGACAACACCTATTTAGGATAAATAACTAACTCAACTTACTTTCTTAATCTCCTCAAATTAGTCAACTGGTTCTTATAATTAGGATTAGAGGTAGTATTAGTTAGTCTAAAAGCAGTCACCAGGTAATTACAGTCTAGTCCTAACAAATACTTGCACCTTTCGCGTGTGTGTGTCTGTGTTTCGTACGTCATTAATAAGGAAATGTTTCGCATATTGTATAAAACGATATTACCTTCAGTCCTTAATATAGGAATTAGTTTGTGTTTCGCACCTTTCGCATGTGTGTCTGTGTTTCGTACCTCATTAATAAGGAAATGTTTCGCATATTGTATAAAACGATATTACCTTCAGTCTTTAATATAAGAATTAGTTTGATTTTTATTTTAATCATAAATATAAGATATCAATTTTTTTAAATTTATTCATTTTTTTTTAAGTTAGTCGTTATAATAATAGTAGTTCTAACTAATAGACTTGTTTAACGAGGTTATTTTAGGAAAAACAATACCTAGTTATTACAAATAACTAACTTAACTAATTTTTTTATTTATTCAAATTAGTTAATTAGTTATTATATTAAGAACAGGATGTAATATTATTTTTAGATTTTTAAAATTGATATTCATACGTTTAAACTTATCAAGCTGTTCTTCAAAATTTCCACTAAGAAAGTTAGTTTTGGAGAGGATTGGACCCACCGGGAAACTCAGCCCAAAGAATGCATAATCAGAAATGAAATTCGGCCCAACTGATTGATTGGGCTTTTGCATTTTCCTTTCATTAACCCTTTTGGTACCGAAAGGCCTTTCGTCGTGGACATGATCATAAAAGTAACCAAGTAGTCTCGCATTCACGCCTAACTCACTCCTTTCTTTCACCATATTGAACAAAAAGGTGCGGCCTGTTGCATTTTCTCTTGAAAAGGGTGCAAATGACTTGTAAGTAATTTTTTAATTATAATTTATCAAAAATAAAATAAATATATAAGAAGAATTTTATGTCAACTTATGTTAAACATGCTTGTAAGTCTTATAATAATAATTCCAAATGACCCCTTAATGTCAATATGCACAGAAATTGACTCTCATACGCTTGCCGCCACCAAAGCTTCAGTCCTCACATTTTTCCAAATGTTTTTTTGTGATAAGCATATACATTTTTTTTATTAAAGACAATTATGCTCGAGGTATTATCAAGTACTAAATATAATCACATTTCTGACAAAAATTTTAACCTTCGTTAGTCATATTTCGAGGCACGAGTTCTTTCCACAAATCCGACCGTCACTAATACACATTCTTCCAAGAGTTGTGCCTGAGTACTTTCATGAGAACACTTTCTTGGGGCCCATCTTCGTAAGTGAAATTCTTGATGTACTATTTTCCCACAACATCTACTAGACATGCGGAGTCAGCCTCAACTCAAATGCAGGTTCAGAGCAAGATAACATTTTGTTTAGCCAAAGTATGAGATGATCAAGAGCGTTTGATTTAGCTTATTTTCTTGTTTTAAGTAATTCTTTTCAACTAAGTAATTTTATACTATACAATATATATACACCTACACACACACAAATGAGTTTTTGGTCAAAAAAAAAAATCCAAGGCACTCATACTTTCTTTCTCTTTTTTTTCATGGCTCCGAAACACCCACTGACGCTTTCCCTTTTGGTTCGGATGATCTTTCACTTGAACCCGGAAAAAATTGTGATACTACTCATAAAGTGACTGATACCTATCTGAGTCTCCTGCTAGTTAGGGAAAAAAAAAAAAAGCAAGGGTTTTAAGTGCTCAATGATAGGCGAAAATCAATCACTTTAATTAGAGCCTGTTTGGTTAAGCGGTGGGATCTCAAATAAGCCCGTTTAAATTCAAATAAGTGCTTATGAAGCATGGTTAGGGTGTTTGGATAATTTTTATAGAATCGCGATGAATCGTGATTTTAACCTCCCACCGCACTTTTAGGATAAGCAACAAAAGATAGCTTATGCGTTTGAAAAATCCCGATGAATCTTCAGTAACTAAATTTTCTCTAATCTACCCCTCATTCTAATGGTAATTATTTTAATTTTTTTTAAAAAAAACATACAATATGAAACTGTTTTTCTTTTAATTTTATCTAAACAAAAATAAGATTACGGATGACATATGAACAACGCAATCAAATATTCAGATAATATTCTGATTCTAGGAGCATTGTTAAATTAAAAAAATAATGATGACAAATAATTTTTCAGCTTATTTATATATTTATTATAGTTATTTTATCTAAAATGATATCTCTCCATTTACTCTTCCACAAATCTCTCTTCAAATATTATCTCCACATATTTTGCCTACAATTTTTCAACCTAAACGGCTAAACCATTTCAAATTTTTTCTTAAAAGGCCGTCATCTCGTCTTCTTGGATCAATCAAGCAATCAAAAGGTATGTTTCTTCTTTATTTGTTCACTTTCTTTATGCAGGTCAGAATTCACTCATCTTATTCTCACAAATTTACAATCTCCAATCTTCACGATGCCTCTTCTGAATGACCGCCTTGAATACTTGTGATTGTTTCTTGATTCCTTTTTATTGCTTTTTCTTGAATAAGCGTGATTGTCTGTTTTGGTGTGTGTAAATATATATATAGATATATTAGTTTGAACTGTGGCCAGAGACCATACCCATTTAATATATACCATCTTGTTTCTTGATTCCTTTTGATTGCTTTTTATTGAATAATCGTGATTATATTTCTTCTTTTAAAATATATATTAGTTTGAACTATGACCAGATACCATACCCATTTTATTCTTCCCTTTTCTAATGTCTGATTTTAAATTTGGCACCAATTAGCTAAAGTCAATTTACCTATCTCAACACCACTTCAACTTGCAATATGAGCGGTGAATCCCAAAAGACCAAGGCTACGTGGGATCTTAAAACAACTGAATGTTTTATCCAAGCATGTCTTACTCAAATTTACAAAGGGGAACGAAGTGGCACAACTCTTACAAAAAGAGGATGGAAAGCTGTAATTGCAGAATTTAATTGTCAAAGTGGCAGGAACTATGACAGGAGCCAATTGAAGAATAAGTGGGACTGCTTAAAAAAAGAATGGCAAGCATGGGATAAATTGTTTGCAAAAGAGACAGGGCTAGGGTGGGATAGTGAAAATAATACTGTGGATGCACCGAATGAATGGTGGGAGAGAAAAATATTGGTATGTGATTCATTAATGTGTATGGATATATTTTCCTGTAATTTGACTACGCACAAGCTAATTTCTTTTTTTTTTTTGTAAATATATAGGAAAATCCACAATATGCAAAGTTTAGGAGCAAAGGCCTTCCATTTGTCCACCAATTAACAGTACTTTTCAAAGATGTGGCGGCAACTGGACAATATGGTTTGTCATCATCGTCAAGAATATTGCCGAGTCAGGCAAATGAACATGAGAATGTGGGAGATGACTTCGGTGTTTCTACACAGGAAGGATCTGGGGATAGTGAGAATGCAAGTGGTGAAGCCGCTGAAAAAATAGCAAACATTAATTTAAATGCATCCCAAGGATCCTCAAGCAAAGTATGTGGGGGGAAGAGAAATAATGATGTTGCGAGTGGGAAAACAAAGAAGGTCAAAGGCCTTGCCTCATCAAGAATAGCTGATGCTATAACTCTTATTGCAGAATCATGCCGTGCACGTGTTGATGGAGTTCCCGGTACTTCTATTGGTGAAGTGATGGCTGAGCTGCTCACTATTGAAGATGTTGCTAATGATCCTGAATTTCATGCAAAATGCTGTCAGCTAATGATGCTTAAGCCAGCCAGGGAGATGTTTATTGCCTTACGCGATGTAGCGGATAAAAGGTTAAATTGGCTGCAACATGCAGCATATAACCCATTGCCTTACAAGGACATATAATTGGGAAGGCTAACGGAAGGAAGATTTTTAGAAGTTTGCTGGTTGATTGAATAATGATGCTACATGTGTTTTTTAAGCTTATTTAACAATTTCCTTTTGTTTGGGTGAAATAATTTGCTGACGTATATGCTATTTATGCATATCCTTTTTTTTTTCATTCTTTGAATAATTAATGGAACAATATTTTTCATAATATTTTATCATTAATTGTTTTTTTAATAGGTGTGTTAAAGAACATGGAGCATTGGAATGATGACTTAGAAAATAACTATGACGAAGACGATGTTTTAGATGAAGCGGTCATCGTGAGTGCATTGGTTAGTGAGTATGCAGTAACATATTTATGTAAAGAGCCATGCAGAACAAGTGACCAAACTGGGCATGCATGGGTACAAGAAATATTGCGAGGCAATCCCACTCGGTGCTATGAGATGTTTCGAATGGAAAAACGTGTATTCCATTATCTTTGTGCTGAATTGTCTGAATATGGTCTAAAGGTCACTAAACATATGGGGGTCGAAGAAATGGTTGCAATGTTTTTAAATATGGTAGGTCATGGAATAGGTAATAGAATGATACAAGAAAGATTTCAACATTCAGGAGAGACTGTTAGTAGACATTTGCATAAGGTTTTACGTGCTTGCTTGCAATTGTCCTTCAATTATATCAAGCCACAAGATCCTACCTTTCGTGAGTTCCCATCAAAAATTCAAAATGACCCACGATATTGGCCATTTTTTAAGAATGCTATAGGAGCAATAGATGGAACCCATGTTCGTTGTGTGGTTAGCTTGTTCGAACAACCAAAATTTATTGGAAGAAAAGGATATCCTACACAAAACATAATGGCTGCATGTGATTGGGACATGTGTTTTACTTTTGCTTTAGCTGGATGGGAAGGCACTGCACATGATGCTCGTGTTTTTTATAATGCTCTTACAACTCCTAGTATGAACTTCCCGCATCCACCTCCAGGTTTGTTTTCTTCTTATATCTTAAAATTGATATGCTTGATACGAATTATATATATTTATTAACATTATGATTCTTTATTAGGTAAGTATTATTTGGTGGATGCTGGTTACCCTACACCAGTTGGGTACATTGGTCCGTATAAATGTGAACGTTATCATCTACCAGATTTCAGGCGTTCATCAGGATTTCAAAATGAGAACGAGATATTCAATTATTATCATTCAAGCTTGAGGTGTACTATAGAAAGGACTTTTGGGGTATGGAAGAATAGATTTGCAATTCTAGATCACATGCCTCCGTACAAAATCCAAACACAAGTTCAAATAGTCATTGCAACCATGGCTATCCACAATTTTATTAGAAGGCATACTGACACTGATTTTAAATTTAGTCAGTATGAAGATGAAAATATCCTCGAAGGTAATTATGATGATCATGTTGTTTCATATCCATCACCAAGTGCCAACATAGTTTCCTCATCAGAAATGGATCGTCTTCGAGACTCAATTCGAGATCAAATTCTACAATGCAGGGAAAATAACTAGCTATCATTTTTATTAATTAGTTTTGTTGTTTAAATTTTATTTCTTAGTTATAATTTTGATTGAAGATTCAATTTCCTTATCTATGTTACTAAAATTGCTAATCAAATTTTTTTTATATTTTCGTTCATCTCTTATTTATATGGGGTCTTTTATTTAATATTTGTACTACACATAAATTTTGTAAGTGATTTTAAATAATAATAATTTTTAAATAAAAATAATATTTAAATATTCATGTCATTTATTAAATTATATTTAATAATATTTATTATTAAATATAATAATTATGAAAATGTAAACAACTTTATTAACTTCATGTCCTTTTTAGTAATTATACACCCATAAGTGATTTTAATGAATAAAAACCAAACATAATCACAATTCTTAAAATCACTTATAAAAAAAAATACCCAAACAGAAATCACGATTAACTAGTATCACTTATAGCCAGTATCACTTATAAAATTCACGATTATCTAAAATCACAGTTGTTCACCGCTAATCCAAACGGGCACTTAGTTGGTCTAAAAAGTAGGGATAGGATTAAATAAATGAGCCCCACTTTGGCCCGTCTCATAAATCCAATTTATTTTGATATGACATTATGGGGATGTTTGGTAACATTAAAAAGTGCTTTTCAGAAGTATTTTTCTGTAAAACGAGATAAATTTTTCTACATATTTATTTCGTAAACTGTAAAAATATTTTTGAAATCATGGTTTGATTTCCATCTAAACACTGAAACACTTCCTATATTGTTCATTTTTATTTTTATGACCACGTAGTTGAACCTAATGATCATGGCTCAATGCCAAATGTCGCAACATGTTCTCTCACAACACCATCTTACACTTTTCGTATGTATAAACATTATTTTCTTGTCGAGAGTGGTTGATTAATCAACATTAATTAAAGGGATTTTTTTTTTTTTTAGGATGTGCCATTGCCAGGGATTTAATAGATTGGGATAGAACCAAAAGAAATGACTATAGTTTGAGTGAAGAGGTAGAATAAAACAAGATTCCATGGATTTCGTCTGGTTATAATTATTTAGGTCCCATATATAATAGTAAATGGCACCTTACTGAAGTATAAAATTGATGACTTGTCCAATCGTCCTTTTAAACTAACGACGCTCCCCCCCGTGTCACATAATATAATCAAGTAATGATGGTTTCCTTAATCATAATCTGCGAGAATACAAATTGACAAATCATATATCTAATTTAATGATGCCTTCTCTTGACCAACCACAAAAAAATATATAGATATATATATTCTTCGAACGCCAGCTTTTGGTCAAAACTAAAAATTATTTTTAAACTCACATTGCACATTTCTCATTAATTTGATCAATGATAATTGAATTAAGTGCAAGTAACTCAACACTCCTATGATATTTATCAGGCATTGTATATATGGTTTTATTACCAAACAAAATTCTGAGACTAGAGTGTTGAATTACAGGTTGATTTTGAAAGTTTTTAAAAGAATTTTTTTTTAAAATTCCGGGTTAACGTATTATTTACTCATATTTTTATTTTATCATTGCCATACTATAACCGTATCAAATATTCAAAAAAAAAATTCATTTTTCCAATAGGAAAAATTCGAATCAATCACGTCTTTCCCAACAACAAGCAATATATATACATTATACAATATATATAATATATAGAGATCTAAGGTGCAATAAATGGTGGCAAAATGAGGCATTTAATTAATTTTTGAAGCCAAAAACAAAAAGACCTTCTCACCAATATATATGAAGCTAACTTTTTGCATAAGAAAAGTGGTTTCATTTCATTTCATGTGCAAAAAGCGAAGAGGAAAAGGCTTCACCTCCAAAGTATGCCCTCAAAAGCCTATACCCATCACTTGAAAATTGAAAAATCAACAAGTGGCATTTTGGATCTTTGGGCTTTTTCCTCCTTATTGCTTCACCCTCTTTTTCATTGGTAAGCACAACACTTTGTTTCTTCCTTCCTTTCTCTCTCTCCAATAAACTTTCTCTCTTTTCTTTCTTCTTTATTTTCCACCACACATATTTCTATAACTATAAACTATATATCTCGTTGTCACTTCTTCACAGGCTACAAAATACACACACAAAAAAAAAAGATGAGTTCTTTTACTTGAGAACTAAAAATGATGACGACCAAATAAATTAGCAGAGGAAACATTGCAGGAGTGTTAATTATCCACATGATTTTCTTCTTCATTTACCACCTGCAGGTGATTAATCAAATTTTTAATTAGGGAAATTAAAAATAATAAAAATTGGGTGTAATATATATAAGGGAAATTAAGGTTAAAAAATATACCTTTATCCTTTTTGAATAGCTTGGTCAAGAAGGAAATGAATATGATGAGCAGAGCCACCCCTGCTATGAGGCCAACTATTATTGCCAGTGTCTTTTGAAGCTCATCGTCGTTCTTGTTTTTACGCTCACCTACACATTACAATTCATATGTTAGTTAATTAGTTTTTTTTTGTTTATAACAAATTTAAAATTACACATCATAGAAGGGATAATTTCAAGCTAACGAATTAAATATGATTAACTTTAATAATCAGGAAAAGACGACGTTGCAAATGATGAGGATTCTCTGTACCAAAATACCTACCTTGTTGGGTTGTGACTAAAAGCGGCCCTTTCATGATTTTTTATGAATCAGGAGAAATGGTTCTATCATTCTTGCTTTATTTCATATTTTGATTGTTTATTTTCATTCATAGGATTCATCATATAAAGTGATGTGTATAATGTATTAATTAAGTTTTTGCTTTTTCTACCACTAAGAAAGTTCAAATGGCTACTTTTAACTAACGCTTGAAATATTCTGAAATATTCATACATAGAAAGGCATGGAGCATTCATGAATCAAAAGAGCAGATCAACAAAATCAAATAATGCCCTTTCTTTCTTTTTTATTATATTATTCTTTCTTTTCCCTATTTTGAGAATAAAAGAGTGAAGGAAGGCAACAAAACTCAAAAGACAAACTTTTTAGAAAGATAAATTTTGCAAGTAAACCCAATTGAATGGGTCCAAAATCAGACGAGATACCAAAACAGTTTTTTCCCTAACAAAAAGTGAAAAAGGTATATTGAATAATTAGAACTTATCGCTCCCACCAAATTGCAATGATCTTCATTTCCACACCGACCCTTGTACGCATTCACGTGGCTTGAAACGTAAATTGAAAATTATTCAAGCAAGTCAATTCTCACTAAACAATCACTCAAAAACTTCAAAATAATAACAATATCAAAGCAATAACGGAAACTACAAAACCACCACTATTCACAGTGGCGGAGCCGCTTACCGTTTTCACTGGGCGAGTAAACTCCACCTTCGGAGTAGCGCGCGTAGCACTTGGCCAAGTATATCTGACCCCACTGGGCAGGCCCACACTCTTCTCTTAGCCGTCCGATCGCATTTGAGAGACAATCCTGACACTCGGCCGCACTCAAATCCCCGACGCACTGCGCCATACCCTGCAAATCCCCTGAGCTAGTCGTTCTAAACGTCTTGTACACCCCATCGGACGTCTCCAAATACGACAGCACAGCATCTCTCCGAGTCAACACGTCCGAAGTAAACGCAGTGGACGGCCCACATTTCTTAACGACCAAGGTCTTGTCCTCCACGCCCAAGAACTTAGAATCATCATACTTAACGAAACAGCCGTCGAGCTGCAAGGCGCCGCCGGTGGAGCCGGGGCAGATGGTGCCAAGCTGGGAGACGGCCTGGGCAACACAGCGGGAGCAGTCCGAGGCGGCAAGGTCGCCGCGACACTGGAAAAGGCCGTAGATGGGGGTGTCCTGTGAGGAGGAGGAGGAAGGGACGGTGAGGTTGGTGTAGGAGGAAAACATGGCGGAGTTGATGATGGAAGTGAGAAGGGAGTTGACGGCGGACTCATAGGCAGAGCCCGGCGTGAACTTAGCCTGAGAGCAACCGCCAAAGATGAAAGCCTGGGTGGAGGAGGAGGAGGAGGAGGAGGAGGAAAACGTTGGGGTTGCGAAGGATATGAGTAGCAGAAGAGGAAGAAGAAGAAGAGGAGGAGGAGGAGAAGGAAAGTGAGAAGAAAGCATTGACATGGTCGTGCGTGGTGGTGAGAATGCGCAAGTGAGATGGACAGAGGAGGAGGAGGAAGGAAGGCCTTCTTTATATATAACAACTTAAAGCGATCGAAACAGCGATGTGTGTGTGTGGGTATGCTTCTGTACGTAATAATGATTATGTGATATCTTTGAGGAGAATCCACGTATGTGTATATACACAGTACACAGAGTATATGATTGCGTGCCAACACAAGCACCGACGTACAGATATACGTATAGTTCGTTACATGTACATTAGGTATACGAATTCCTTGGAATATAGAGTGTGATTCCCTTTTTGCTTTCGTGTATATATATATATATATATATATATATATAGAGAGAGAGAGAGAGAGAGAAGGTAAGAGGCACCGAAAATTATTGAATGGAAACATTATATGGACGCGAGTTGAGAACGGAAATGAAAAGTAAGGTGTGAGAAATATTGATTAAAGGTACGTTAAGAAGAGGTGGGTTTTGAGAAGTGATGGGAGGATGGTGTGAAGTCAAAAGGAACGGGTGGGGGGAAGGTGGTGAAAATTGACTCAAAAGACATAATCAAAATCCTAATTAATATAGTTTGGTCGAGGTGTTAACAGCAACTCTCTCTCTCTGTGTATAATTATATATATATATATATATATATATATATAGTGTAGATGATGTGTATGGGTGATGACTTGCAGAGGAAAGATTGAAACACTAAAATTGAGGGGAAAGAGAGTAGAGAGCACGTGATGGGTCCCTCGAGTTGGTGTGTTTCAATCAAAATCAGACTTAATTAAGTCATCAAGAATATATATATATATATATATATATAGAGAGAGAGAGAGAGAGAGCTTTGATTTGGTCCAGTTTGGAGCTGGTGATAGGGATGCAACGTGAACGCTGCACTTTGCTAATTGGATGCTCTCTTTGATGATAGCAATGGTTTGTTTGGGATTCATTATTATTTGGGCGTTTGGTTCAAAAGTAATTGTGGCCATATGTCTCATTCTTGAGGCCGATTTGCTTGCAGCTTCGTCATCATCCGAATGTGTTAGACCGAAATTATATTCCGTTTCACAATTAATTCCGCAATCCACTCTCATCCTCATCATCTAATCTCTTTTTTATGTCTCTTTTCTACTTATATATATTTAGACGGTTATTAAAGTAAGATCAAAGTATTAATTATTAACTAAACTAGATGAGAAGGATTAATATTAATGTATATATTTACTAGTTAATTATGACTGTCAATTAATATAGCTACTGGTTACGACTTGGGGATATAATTAATCAAGTCGCGATAATTAAATGCATGTGAAGATGGATGGATCGGTCAATTCAGACCAAAGTTTCGCAAAATAAGCAAAGAAGAAGAAGAAATTGATTGACAAGGATGAATGAATGATACAGGAAAAGCATCTCCTGATTGACTACACCATTGACTCCACAATTTTCATTTTTTCTTTATTGGAAATTAAACCATATTTATATATATATAACTATATTAGTCAATGATCGTAAGAATAATTCCACCAATTCCCTGAATTTAATTTGCAGTAAATATAATATGCAGAAGTCATTGACTCTGACCTGGTCGTCCCTCCCATACCTTTCATATATAGAATACAGGTAAAAACAAATAAACGACCCGTCCTTTTTGTGGAATAATTTTTTTCCATTTTGTCTTCACTGTAACACGTTATTATTAACACTGGCGTCAATTCAAACCTCACTTATTAATTCCTTTGATTCTCATCCAGCAATATTATAGTTGTCATCGGTTCTAAAAATGTAATTAAACGGGAAAGAAGTACAACATTTGAGTGCATTATACTTTACAAGGTACTTTAAGCTAACGATTCAGCAATTTAAGGGGGGGAAAAAGCAGTGGTGGAAAATTCAAATACGTTTCCCACTTAATATATTAATCCTCTAATTAACAAGACATGGAGAAACCATCAAAGCATAATGAAGTTTCAAAAGTAGACTAATTGCATAAGTGTTAATTTAGTTCCTAATTAAAATCCAATCACATCCCTCAATCTACTATAATTGAATCACAATATATAACTAGACAATTGTTTATGGAAGTAATTATTTGATAAGTGCTTAAATTAGAAATAATCCCTGCCACTAGATGAAAACGAAACACTCGAGAAATTTCAGTGAACGAAGAAGAAAGCATAGTATGATGATAATGATTGACGAGTGACTTCATATCAAACACGCTTCCAATAATTGACTAGACACTATGTTTGTTAAATTAATAGATTTTGATTTTTTTTTTTTCCTCTCCTTCAAACACGTCTCAACATACTCGTCGTGTCTTTTTATTATATCTAAATAATGAATATTTATAACTATACATATGCATCTATCCCCTTCATGCATGTTCATCCCCTACCTACCAGAGCTACCAATTAAGACATTTTTTTAAAAGAAGCTACTAATTTTTCCAAAAGAAATAATGATGATGTAATTAAGATTCCTGTTTCGGTGTGATCAAACAGAGAGATAGTTGGTAGGTGGAGAAGCAAGCATGTATTGAGAGTTGAATCAAAGGAAAGGGAAAAGAGTGAAGAAATAAAGACAAAAACAGAAATTAAAGGCAAATGGAAGTAAAGTGGGGAATTAATTAGGGGAAGGTCACTTCATAGGCTTCAATAATGAAGGCACCGTCTTTGTATGATTGCTTGTTTGTTTGTTTACATAATTGTTGTAAAATTTAATTTACATTGTTTTGTGTGTGTGTGTGTGTGTTGTGAGGATTTTTGTCTTGGTCTTTTGATGTGCCACCACAACAACAACACACAACACTACAACTCGACAACGTTAGGGTTTAGGCCTTTTTGCCCTCTACTACTTATCCCATCCTTATTTAATTTTCTCTTCAACCTTTTGTTTTTTTTTTATTGTGCCTGTTTGGTGGTGGTAGATATATCAAGCAGAAGAAATTTCTTTCTTTTATATTATTTACATACAAAAAACTAAAAATACATAATAAGAATGAGTGTGTCAAAACCCAGATTGGGAGGAAGACGAAAGGGAGAATTATGAGAACCCTACATGTTTATATAATTGGGGTATCTCACATTATCCATTTTTTGGTGTTGATTGATAGGAACCTGTTCTCCCAAGTCCCAACCTCATGAATCGCTGGCTATACGCTTCATTACGAGCTAAGAATGTTTACAAAGTCATGTGCAGTACTTGCCATGATAACAACCTCACATCCTCAACTCAATGAGATTAGAATCTATATGGGAGTGTCAAAGGCTTTGTAACTTAGTGATATTGATGCTCTCCGATAGATTGTGGATTCTATTCCACTTATAACCGTAAGCCGTTAATGTCTGCCCCTTTAATTTAAAAAAAAGAAAAAAAAGAATCCATATGGAGGTGTACATGTGTATAGACCTTATTATAGATATATTCTTCATGATTTTAAATATAGAAGCCAGTTGGTTAAAGAGTTTGTTTTGATTTTAAATATAAGATATTAATTCTCTTTGCTTTTCTTATTTATTATTTTTCCAAACTACCCCAATAATAAAATTATTGTATTGCAAAGTTGAATGGCAATTGTATGATTAAAAGGAGGAGTATTTTTTTTAAAAAAAAGTTTTTTTTACAAATAACTAATTTATTAATTATTTTTAATTCATGTGAATTAATTAAGTAGCGGAAAAAGCATATTAATATTGATATTGATGTATATCATTGATACACCGTTTTATAGTAAATGACAAAAAAAGGTTAATTAATTAATGATGAGTTATTACCATCCACCATAATCCTTACGATCTCTGTTTGCCTTAAGCATAGCCGCCACTTCATCTGATGTTAAAGCATTGTAAATAAGATTGAGGATTGAATAAGAAATGCTGTCCAAGTAAACGGAAAAGAATCACAACTATCACTCTATGTACATATTGGTCATGTACTAAACAGAAAATATTGCATCGATATTACAAGTAAAGGAAGAGAACATCTTAAAAGACTAGCTTATGGTGACACAGCTTTTTAAACTTATTAGCTTTGTTTCTCCTCTGACACTTTCCGGTATGAGACTTGTAACCACACACTCTGCTTGAGAGTTGAAGATATCAATACTTCCAATGAAAGTACTAACATTATGAGCACAAGTCTAAAAGACTAGTATGTTAAATTGTTCGAGCCTCTTAAATTTATAAACCACCTCGTGGATAACTTGAAAATTACCCAAAAAAAAAAAAAGAAATGTTTAGAAGAACAGCACACAGGAACCTTGGATATTTCCATCTTCAATTGGTAACAACAGAGAAGGACATTTTCCCTGCATCATTCATCAATAAGAAGCCCACCTAATTGTCACTCATCGACATCAACATATCTCCTTCCATTCAAATACAACCACGTTAAGAAGTATGCTAGAAAAGAAGAGATAGAGGAAGTTACGGGACGAGTTTTCTGACTGAGAGACAGATTGAGGAAAAGTGAAAATGCAGAGGACAAGAAGACGCCGCAACCGATTGCACGAAGCCCTACAATCACAGGATTCAATATGATTACTATTACCTTGAATTTGTTTCCCTCTACAAAATTCCTGTTTGGTTTCCGAGAAGACAACAACAATTTATCCACATCAGACAGTCTACCCGTGTAGACGACGCCGTACTGGTTTCTGTCGAAGAAGGAAGCGTGCTTTTGCAGAACGTTTTGGTGGGGCTCTGCAATTGAATTTGAAGCTGCTGCATGAAGACCTGCAGGAATATCAACTTGAAGATGAAAATGGAATGATTATATTGTCAAGTCAAAGAATAGAAGTAAAGATACCTCGCGATTGTTACTTTCAATAGAAGCCATGGCTGATTGGCTGAGATGAGTGACAGAGATTAGGGAAGGAAGTGATTTGTGAGGGAAGAGAAGAAAGAGTTGGCATATTTATGTGAGGGAAACTGATCTATTTCTGTCTATCTATTTATTTTTCGATCATAAATATAAGACCCATGTATAATGTAAGGAGAAGTAATTTTTTTTTGCCAAAGATT